AATCACACAACACTAGTCTTTGTTTGTTTGTTGTTAAGCACACAATAGAGTAACTGGGATCTGCCAACCGCTGGTATCAAATCCCGAATCCTAGCGTTGTTAAGCTCTCAGATTTACTTTAAAACCACCAGGAGAAACTTTTTACTTATTGTTTGCGTAAAGCTAGACAAGTGTTACCACCGCGAGAATTGAGCCTCGGATTTTACGTTGTAATCCTGTAAACTTATCGCTGACTACCGAGGGACATCGTTTCTTCTCCTGGTTTTCACACGAGCGAGAGAAAGAGAGACTGGAACATCATCATCACATACAACTTGCCGGAGAAATGATGTAAATAAATACTTCATCTTCTACGTGCGTCCCAGTGGGACAGCGGTAAGTTTACAGACTTACAAAGTTAAAGTCCGGAGTTCGATTTCCTGAAGTGGACACAGCAGATAGCCCAGTGTGACTTTGCTCTAAGGAAAAAACACACACAACTGAAGTTTTCAAGTATCTACTGCTAATATTAAAAACCTGTATTAAGTTACACTAGCTGTCAGATTGTTATAAAAACTTGTATTAAGTTACACTAGCTGTCAGATTGTTATAAAAACCTGTATTAAGTTACACTAGCTGTCAGATTGTTATAAAAACTTGTATTAAGTTACACTAGCTATCAGATTGTTATAAAAACTTGTATTAAGTTACACTAGCTGTCAGATTGTTATAAAAACCTGTACTGAGGTACACTAGCTGTCAGATTCTTATGAAACCTGTACTGAACTACAGTAGCTGCCAGATTCTTATGAAACCTGTACTGAACTACAGTAGCTGCCAGATTTTTATGAAACCTGTACTGAACTACAGTAGCTGCCAGATTCTTATGAAACCTGTACTGAGTTACAGTAGCTGTCAGATTCTTATGAAACCTGTACTGAGTTACACTAGCTGTCAGACTCTTATGAAAACATGTACGGTCCTTGGTCATGGTGTAGTGTTTTCAAACAGGAGGACTGATACAACTCTAATCTACAATGCTAGTGTCAACAAACAGGAGGACTGATACAACTCTAATCTACAATGCTGGTGTCAACAAACAGAAGGACTCATACAACTCTAATATACAATGCTGGTGTCAACAAACAGGAGGGCTAATACAACTCTAATCTACAATGCTGGTGTCAACAAACAGGATCCTGTTTGTTGACACCAGCATTGTAGATTAGAGTTGTATCAGTCCTCCTGTTTGTTGACACCAGCATTGTAGATTGGAGTTGTATTAGTCCTTCTGTTTGTTGACACCAGCATTGTATATTAGAGTTGTATTAGTCCTCCTGTTTGTTGACACCAGCATTGTAGATTAGAGTTGTATCAGTCCTCCTGTTTGTTGACACTAGCATTGTAGATTAGAGTTGTATCAGTCCTTCTGTTTGTTGACACTAGCATTGTAGATTAGAGTTGTATCAGTCCTCCTGTTTGTTGACACCAGCATTGTAGATTACAGTTGTATCAGTCCGGACTAATACAACTCTAATCTACAATGCTAGTGTCAACACTGTACAAACTTTAGTGTCCAAATTTTTTCTAAAGGAATTTTTATTTTTAGCGTCCATTCTGCTTTGTCTTGCATATTTTTTCCCCGTTTCTTTATGCGCTATTTCTGAACTCCTGATTTCGTAAGGTAACCGTTTTACACATTTTACACGTGGCAGCAGTATATATATATACACACACACGCAAGAAAAAAAAGAAAAGAAAAACACCTAGAAAATGTGGCACTGATCTGAACCACTCCATTGTGGGTGAGATGTTCTATAAAAAAACACGAAAACAAACACGCTTTGGGAGTGCTCGTTACGGTTATTGACTTCTGGGCTTCTTTCGCGCACGCGTGTAAACAACCTAAAACGGACACCTACCCATCTGTATGACAACAATAAAACTCGATTTTTTTAGACTGTAGACTTACCGCCGAGTCACTGGGCTGGAATATAATTCTGGAGTTTTTCTGCGCTTTTCTTCTTGTTAATATACAGCCCAGTGGTTAACGTATTGGGCTGCGGAGCTGAAGTTCCGTGGTTGCACTTTGGGTGCGTGTATACGTTATAAGACTGTTGGTCAAATGTCACTATTCGGTCTTTCAAGAGTAGCCCAATTGTCCAAAATTGGGGACAGGTAGCCCTCATGTTTAATCTTTATTGGATTAGAATACATGAATCCTTTACCATATTATGCAAACTTATACCATCATATGTTTTCTCTCTGTTTGTTAACTGAATATTTAATACTGATTTTATATAGCCAGGTATCACTTTGTATTGTATACATACGTATATAAATACCGCCAGATTCTAAACTTCCTGAATACTGTTAATTGTACTTGATCGGTTCTTAATCTTCTATAATCCGCTATTAATTGTACTCGATCGGTTGTTAGTCTTCTATAATCCGCTATTAATTATACCTGATCGGTTGTTAATCTTCTATAATCCGCTATTAATTATACCTGATCGGTTGTTAGTCTTCTATAAT